TTAGATGTAAATACAACATAGGAAAAAAGAGCAAAAAATTAAGTTTAAAAAATTTTGGAAAAAAAATTAGTAAGAAAAGTTTTAACATACTCCTGAACACTTGTTTTCAGAATTCACTTGACAAAACAATTTTTACCTGTTAATAAAATAAAAAAGGAGCCTCTACTCTTTCCTTCATCCAGTGAAGTAACAGATTCCCCTCTATGTATTTGTAAGAAATCTATGAGAAACAAATTCTGTTTGACGGTTATACTTTCAAAATCGTAAGAAGCTACCATATTATAAATTAATTAGATACTCTCAGGTCAGAAATGCTTTGCTTAATTTAAAATTAAGTGAGGAAATCTGTTAAAACACATAACCTGGCACATATTAGACAATAGGTGTCATTATAAGTATAAAACTGGCATGGCTTTTATTCATTTTGAATTACATTTAATCAGGCTGCTTTGAACCATATGGGCATTTAGTTCAACATTACAACACAGACGGGGGAAAAAAAAAAAAAAAAAAAGAAATCTCATTCTTTGGTCCCAGATTTTCCCTAATCCAAAATTAGGAGTATAAAAGTTTATAACTAGTCACCAGGGAGCCCAAACAAGGCAGTAAAAATGACTCAACAGAGTCCAACATCATCACTGTTGAAGCCATGTTATTTACCAATCTTGCTCTCTTGTCAGCAGTACCCTCCACTGTTGTATACCAGATAGCTATGTGCTCAAGGCTTCTAATGAGATTAAAAAGTATGGGGGTAAGGACAGTTACCGAAGAAACAAAAAAACAACAATTTTTTGGTTGCAAAATAACATTAGTCTTTTTGTAAGAATCTATTTTAGAAACTTCCAAAAAAATATTTTGCTGAATTTTCACCAGAAATGATCTCTCATTTTATAAGTGCCTTTTCTGAAATTGGGGACAAGTAGTACTTGTGGGACAAGAATCAAAGTAGAAATACTATTAACCTTGATTCCTGAAATAAAGTAAGCATGCTCTGTGTCACATATTTATATAATGACCGAAAGAACAAGAAGGAAAAGAAGAAAAAAGACCATGATATCAATACCATTTCTACAGTAACACTTAATAGACAGAAATTTGCAACTTCTCCTGTCAACTCCCAATGTTACTATCTTTTCCAGTCTTTAAATCTCTATTAACTAATTCTATAGAGTTAAAAAAATAATAATAAAACAGAACTCCTCACTTCTCATTTCCTAACCCAAGATGGCCAGGAACCTCTCGCCAAAATTTTAGCAGGCCCAGATCAAAACTACTATAACAAAACTTCACACATACCCACTACACAGTACTTTGGCAGGTGAAAAACAACAGAAAATCCCCGTTGTTTTTAGATTGCAAGAGGGTTATGATCATAGCTACTACTTCATTGCAACCTTTATTACTGATCACATCAGACATCATGCAAAATACCTGGATGCATGAAAAACTTCAGATAAGAGAATCTCTTCAGTATTACAAAAGATGTAAAAACAGAATTACCAAGCATAACAAGATTTCAAAACATTGGATTTTATAATGCTAAAAGAGCTTCATTCTATGGTTAAATCACCT